ATATTAAGTCTCCATTCCATGAATAAGAGATGTCTTTCTATTTATTCAGGTCTTTCAAAAAATTTCTTTCAACAATGTTTGTAGTTTTCAGTGTGTAAGTCTTGTATTTCTTTAGCTAAATTTATTCCTAAATATTTATTCTTTAGATGTTATAAAGGGAAATGCTTTTTTCATTTCATTTTATTCTAATTATTCATTGCTATTGTAGAGAAATACACTAATCTTTATATATATTTATCTTATATCCTGCAATTTTGCTGAACTGTGTACAAGCTCTTATAAATTATTTATTTATTTATTTCAGCATACTATGGGGGTACAAATGTTACGGTTACGTATATTGCCCTTGCCCCCACCTTGAGTCAGAGCCTCAAGCGTGTCCATTCCCCAGTTGGTGCGCATCACACTCATTTTGTATGTATATACCCATCCCCTTCCCCCAACCTGCCCAGTAAATGTGATTCCTATATGTCCACTTAGGTGTTGATCAGTTAATACCAGTTTGCTGGTGAGTATATGTGGTGCTTGTTTTTCCATTCTTGGGATACCTCACTTAATAGAATGGGTTCCAGCTCTATCCAGGAAAATAAAAGAGGTGCTATATCACCATTGTTTCTTATAGCTGAATAGTACTCCATGGTATACATATACCATATTTTTATTAATCCACTCATTTATTGATGGGCACTTCGGTTGTTTACACATCTTTGCAATTGTGAATTGTGCTGCTATAAACACTCGAGTGCGGGTGTCTTCATAGAGTGACTTTTGTTCTTTTGTGTAGATGCCCAGTAGTGGAATTGCTGGATCAAATGATAGATCCACTTGTATCGCTTTAAGGTATCTCGATATTGCTTTCCACAGAGGTTGAACTAGTTTGCAGACCCACCAGCAATGTATGAGTGTTCATATCTTTCCACATCCACACCAACATTTATTGTTTTGGGACTTGTTAATAAAGGCCATTCTCACTGGAGATAAGTGATATCTCATTGTGGTTTTGATTTGCATTTCCCTGATGATTAGAGATTTTGAGCATTTTTTCATATGTTTGTTGGCCATTATTCTGTCTTCTTTTGAAAAGTTTCTGTTCATATCCTTTGCCCACTTTTTGATAGGGTTGTTTGATTTTTCCTTGCTGATTTTCCTGAGTTCTAAATAGATTCTAGTTATCAGTCCTTTATCGGATGTGTAGCTTGTGAAAATTCTCTCCCAGTCTGTGGTTGTCTGTTTGCTCTGTTTGACAGTTTCTTTGGCTGTTCAGAAGCTTTCTAATTTGATCAGGTCCCATTTATTTATTTTTGTTGCTGCTGTGATTGCCTTTGGGGTCTTATTCATAAATTCTTTGCCTAGGCCAATGTCTAGAAAAGTATTTCCAATGGTTTTCCTCTAGAATTCTAATAGTTTCACACCTAAGGTTCAAGTCTGTTACCCAGCATGAGTTGATTTTTGTGAGAAGTGAAAGGTGTGGGTCCTGCTTGAGTCTTCTACATGTGGCTATCCAGTTTTCCAAGCACCATTTATTGTATAAGGATTCTTTTCCCCAGTGTATGTTTTTGTCTGCTTTGGTGAAGATCAGATGGCTATATGAGGATGGTTTTATATCTGGGTTCTCTATTCTGTTCCACTGTCACTATCCCTGTTCTTGTGCCAGCCCCAAGCTGTTTTAATTGTCATAGCCTTGTAGTATAGTTTGAAGTCTGGTAAATTGATACCTTCCATTTTGTTTTTATTGCCTAGGATTGCTTTTGCTATACAGGTCTTATCTGGTTCCATATGAAGAGTAAAATTATTTTTTCTGTATCTGTGAAAAATGATGATGGTATTTTAATAGGGATTGCATTTACTCTTTAGGTCACTTTGGGTAGTATAGACATTTTAACAAAGTTGATTCTACACACTCACGAGCATGGTATGGTCTTCCACCTGTTTACATCTTCTGCTATTTCCTTCTTCAGTGTTTCATAGTTCTCCCTGTAGAGGTCTTTTACCTCCTTAGTTAAATATATTCCTAGGTAATTTATTTTCTTTCTTACTATTTTGAAGGGAATCGAGTCTTTAATTTGGTTCTCACTTTGACTGTTGCTGGCGTATATCAATGCCTCTGTATTGATTTTGTATCCTGAGACTTTACTGAATTCATTTATCAATTCAAGAATTTTCTATGTACAGGATCATGTCACTTGTGAATATAGATGGTTTTCTTTCTTCCTTTCTAATCTGATGCCTTTAATTTTATTTTCTTGCCTATTTTCCCTGGTTAGAATCTCCAGTAAAATGTTGAACATTATACATGATGTTAGTTATAGGTTTTTTATGGATGTCCTTTATCAAGTTGAGAAAATTCCTTTCTTGTCCTCGTTTGTTGAGTGCTTTTATCATAAGAGTGTTGAATTTTGTCAAATGCTTTTTCTGCATCTGTTGAGATGATTACGTGTTTTTTTCCTCTGTATACTATTATTATGGTGTCTGACATTGATTAATTTTCATATGTTGAATCAATGCTGCATTCTGGGTATAAACCCTACTTGGTCATGGTGTATAATTCTTTTTATATGTTGTTGTATTCAATTTGTTAGTGTTTTGTTGAGGATTTTTGTGTCTGTATTTATAAGGGATATTGATCAGTAGTTTTTTTTTTCTTGTGACGTTTTCGCCTGATTTGGTTATTATGGTAACAAGGTTGCTCATATTTAATTGTATACACGCTTTCAGAGTAGGTGAAAGGCTGATGCAGCTGCTGTCAGCAAGCTTGACAAAGGTTCCCATCCTATGATTGGGGTGCTTGTTTACTGATTGTGTGAGGGAGCTGGTTATTCATTCAGTTGTCCCTTTGATGAACACTTCTCTACCCTGGTCTGAGCAGGGGTTCTGAAACTCTACTTCCCTTGGCTAGCTGGTTCCCTGCCATCCTCTGTCAACAGGGGCTATTTGATGGGAGGCCTTAAGAGATAATAGCTTGTTGGGAGAAGTTTGTTTGAGAATTTCAAATACTGGACAGGTCATTGATTTCCCCAGGAAAATAAGGGGATGGTGATTAGAGAGTACAGGCATGCACCGCATAATGGTGTTTCACTCAACAACAGACCACATACAGGAGGGTGGACCCATGAGATTATAATACTGTATTGTTACTGTACCTTTTCTGTGTTTAGATACCCAAATACCACCGTGTTGCATTCACCTACAGTATTCAGGGTAGCAAATGCTGTGTAGGTCTGTAGCCTAGGAGTGATAGGCTATATATATCGTGTAGCCTAGGAATGTAGCAGGCGGTACCCTCTAGGTTGGGGAAGTACACACCATGGTGTTCCCATGGCAACAAAACTGCCTAACGACTCATTTCTCAGAACATATCCCCATCTTGAAGCTGCGCAAGACTGTATTCGCATTCTGTTAACCTCAAGCACACAAAGTGCCCAAACTATTGGAGAAAGACTGTGTTCTCATTTAAATGCAGGTGCTGTGTGTCCTTATGACAGTGTGTAAGTCAAGTCAGCTTCTGGTGATATTCAGGTCTAATTAGAAATCCTTCTTGGACTATTTAATTCAAAGTTTCCTCTTAATCTTCCAGGAACTTAACCCTCACCACAAAGGGTATGTGAAGACACAAAAATGGAGAAAGTGTGTGGAATAGCCATTATGTACGTGTTGTAAGAAAAGGGATTTGTTTACTTAAGTACATTGTGTTCATCTGACTCACGGCTATGAAATCATGGAGGTTCCTCTCCGAGTCAGAAAATTGCAAAATCAGTTTGCATAAACTTCTAGGGTCAAATTGTTCATGACACCTCATCTCACTCTTGGCATTTGTTACTCAGAGAAGAAATATGAGTCCTTCTTACATCAATTCCTTTGAAGGAATCAAGTCGTATTTTTTCCTGTTTGTTTAGCAGCAGGAGTCTATTTAAATTTTAAAAAATTTCACCTAACAATTTCACAGTCTTGGTCTCACTTCATGAATTTTTTCCTTGCCTACGTTGAACTCCTTCAACCTCCAATTTTAGGTTTCTTCTCAGATCTAGAAAGTGTTTTTTAAAAATATACTTTTAAATCTTTGTTTATGATCCACCATTCCATTTTATATCTTAACGACATCTCTTATTTGCAGGTTGGGTTTCTATGATTTGTGCTCCCACAAATTTCTGAGCTCTTTAAAATATCCATTCATTCCGCATTTGGGAGTATTTCTGAAGTGAGTCCTTTCTGTTATTGATTCGATTTTGGCGCTATCAAATTTGCCTTTTGTTACTTCTTGTATGGGACCTGGTTTCCCTTCTTTCTGTCTTTTCTTTCTTACTTCTTTCTCTTTCCTTCTTTCTTCATTGCCCCTAACCCTGCTTCCTTTTTTATTTTTTTGAAATCTAAGTCTATTCTTGTTTAATGGAAGCAATATCCTCGCAAATCGTTTCTGGGGTCACCTACATCCCTCTGAGCTCCCAGACCATGTCTGTGACAATGCTGAGGGCAGGTGCAAGGTGTGGCCGGCTGGTGATGAAGAGGAGGTGGCCTTGAGTCAGCAGAAGCCAAGAGAAACGGTGGGGGCGAGCAGCCCAGCACGTAGAAATAACACGTGTGTTAGGTACAGCCGCGCTGAGCACTTTACACAGAGAGCTTGTTTAATCCTCACAAAAACCCTGAAAGCGAGACAGAATTATCCCAACCTGTCCCTCCACGGGCCGGACACTCTTCACTATCCTGATCTGGATGAGAACGGCGGGATCTCAGGAGAGCCGAGGGCCCTCTGTTCCTCCTAATAGTAATAACTTACTGCTATTTACACGAAAGCATTATTCTCGCTAAGCGATTGTAAGGTTTGTAATCTTCATCAGTCCCAGAGAAAGGAAACTGGAGTTCACAGAAGCTTAACTGGAACTCGAGCCCTGGTCTCTCGGTTCCTGCGCTGACGTCTGGGGCCAGAACCACTCGTGATGAAACAGAACATCAGTGCCTCCCAGGAATGGCCTCATATCCTGTTGTGCAACTTTCCAGAGCCTGTAGGTCAGAGTGGCGTCTTGTAGCTGTCCCAGGAGCCCGCGGCGGCAGTTGGAGTTGATGCCCAGGAAGGATGAGGACGGTCTGGCTCCTGGGGCTGCTGTGGGCGCTCCTGGTCTCAGGTAAGGCAAGGAAGGGGCGTAAGCAGGGGAGGCCTCGGGGGGTCCTTTTTGTTTTGAAGCTCCAGAGCATGTAGCCATCCAAGAAGTAGCGATGGCAGATGGGGCTGCTGTACCCAAGCCTAGCAGAATCAGGAGGATGTCCAGGGCCTGAGCACAGAAGCGAAAACAGGGATGAGTTAGGGAAGCAAGATGTCTGTATACTTTGATGTTGTCAGAGACATGCAAAGCCCTGGACAGAATAAGGATAAAGTAAATCTAACTTTGGCATGATATAAAATAATTTTATTCGATGCTGATTTTTTCCCCTTATATTCTATCATGATGCTTTTGACATTGACTGTCTGTCCAACCCAAAAGACATAATTTATTTAACAACTATTTCCCAGTGGCCTGCTATGGGCCAGCAGATATGCTACAGCTGAGGACACAGATGTGAACGGAGAGGCCCGGCGCCCTGGTTGGTGGAGGGCGGCACCCCAGCTCTCCATTGCATGCTGGGGCCGAGGGCACTGCTGTTCAGGCTTGGCAGGGCTGGTCCATCCCCCAGCCCTTACTTCTCTCCTCTTATAATCTGCACAGATCACACCTGCCTTAACAACAGGAGCATTTGGGACTTTGGTCACTCCTCCTCCTACCCCTTATGAATAACAGAGGGAAAATGTTGACATGAGCTGAAAGCAAGGTTTGCTGTGGGAAGACATGAAAGATCAGGAAGAGGGTCTTCCTGGGACCCACTCCTCTGAGCAAAGTTATGGACAACTGCCTTCCAGAGCCTGACCACAAACCTTGCTTTGGGTGTCCTTGGAGCTGGGTGATAATCTGGGTGGGGAGGTGGGAATTCGGTTCTCATGAACCAGTGTGTTTTGTGTTTTTCTGAAGGAGAACTGGGAGATGGCAGAGGGTTGAAGGATGTGGAATTGTTCGAGAGATAACCAGTGGTCTATATCTCATTATGCCCTGTGGGAGTATATTACCCTAAAATCTCCTTCCAGATACCTACGCGAGCTTGGGCCAGGACTGCTCCAATTCCTATTTGACAGCCTCGTTGGGCAACGTAGCCCAGTGCTTTATAGCAGACTCTGGAATCAGCCTCCTCACGTTTGTACCCTGGCTCCACTACTTAACTACTGTGGGACTTTGGGCAAATGCCTTAACCTGTCTGTGCCTCAGTTTCATTATCTATAAAATGGGAAGAATAATGGTTTTAACCTTTTAAATTGTAAAGATTAAATAAGATTGTTTTTTTCCAAAGTACATAGCACATAATATTCAATAGATAGAATTTGTTATCCTTTTTATTAACATATTATAAGGAGTTTCCTTCTTGTAATGGTGCATAGATAGCACTTCAGCCTTCATTGCATACTGTCTCCTTTCACAAGAGATTAGGCAAATTTGTAAGCACACTCAGTCACCTGTCACTTCCCCCTCTTCTGGGGAGCTGGCAAATAATGGAGATTTCTCTGTGATATTAATTTAAGAGGTTAGGGCTTTGGTGGTGGAAACTTGAGGATAGAATCTCTGTGACTTTCGCAGAGCCCAGCACCGTGCCTGGCACAGAGAAGACAGTCAGCCACAGACGGATGGATGAGTGAACAAACAAGGGAACCAGACTTGGCTTAGGGCCCCCTCGGCCTCTGCTCGCCTGTCTCTCGGAGGGGAATTCCTGACCGGAGTTCATGGGAACTGTCCAGGAGGCTTGTTTGCAAGGTTTCCTTAGAAACTGAAGTCTGGCCCCAGAAGAATCAGCCTTCAAGCCTGGCTTCACCTTCAAAATGCTCATGAGTCCCTGAGTTGGGTCTTCCCATAGTCAGGCAGAGCTGTTTGCTTATCCTGGGTGGGCATGCAGGGCTTCCACCAAAGGGGCAGCCCTTGGCATTTTTCACTAGCACATAAGGATTACAGTGTGTGTATGTATTATTATTATTTTTTGAGACAGAGTCTTGCTTTGTTGCCCAGGCTAGAGTGAGTGCCTCGGCATCAGCCTAGCTCACAGCAACCTCAAACTCCTGGGCTCAAGCAATCCTTCTGCCTCAGCCTCCCGAGTAGCTGGGACTACAGGCATGCGGCACCATGCCCGGCTAAGTTTTTCTATATATATTAGTTGGCCAATTATTTTCTTTCCATTTACAGTAGAGACTGGGTCTCGCTCTTGCTCAGGCAGGTTTTGAACTCCTGACCTCCGGCAATTTGCCCGCCTCAGCCTCCCAGAATGCTATGATTACAGGTGTGAGCCACCGTGCCCGGCCTCGTAGTAGTATTAATAACAGCAGCAGGTGTGGCAAACCTGCACCGCAGTTTGACTCAGCAAACTGTGGGTCAGACTGTTTAGCCCATTATTTGGGGTTCCATGCAGGAAGGTGTCCCAGGCTGGAATGGATAAGCCACATTCCCTCAGTAAACTTATAGAACCCTCTGTGTCCAGCTGTAACCACACACCTGGATCTTCTCCATCCCTCTCTGCTTGGCCACCCATCAGCAAGGCTCCAGAGAAGGCTCCAGAGAAGACTCCTGGACCAGAGAAGATCACTCCCAATTCTAGGTGGTTATTCTGGTTCGACCTCCAAGAGTGTGATTGAAACTATTGTCCCTGTGACCAGAGGTTCTCCAATGCGGCACTATTGACATTTTGGGTGGGGCAATTCTTTGTTGTGGGGGCTGCTCTGTGCACTGTAGGGTGCTTGGCAGCATCCTTGGCCTCCTCTGGATGCCAGTTGCATCCACCCCATCCCAGGTTATAACAACCAAAAATGTCCAGATATTGCCTAGTGTCCCCAGGGGGGCAAAAATTGTGCCCCCAATGGAGAACCACTGCCATGACTCCTCGACATCAAAAACAGGAGGGAGCATTTCTAGGCTCAGGTACTAGGAAGTACAAGGGGTGCTGGGTTGGAGCACAGCTGAGTCTGTGACTCAGATAATGCTGTTAGCTTGTGCACACATGCTCATGCGTGTTCTCTCTGTCTGTCCCTGGCCTCATTCGCAGGTAGCCTATTTCCACATTGTAGAATGTTTCATATCTCACTGATCTATCAACCCCAGCAGGAATGAATATTTTTCTTTTTTTTTAAATTTTTTTAATTTTTTAAAAATATTTTTCTTAATAGCTAATAGGCTCAGGGAGGATTCTCCCTGATAGGTCCAGCCAAGTCATGTGCTCTTTCCTAAACCAATCAGCATGGCCAGGATGATGGGGGACTTTGATTGGCAGAGTCTGTGTCATGTGCCCACTGATGTGGACAGCCCCATCAGTGGAGCCGCAGAGGATGGCTGCCCTGAGAAAGAGGTGCTTTGCTTCCCAATGAAGGTGGGAGGGAGGGCCGATATCACAGGCAGATGTCAGTGTCTACCATGCTCTCAGATGGCTTCCTCACCGTCTATCCAATGGTCTCTTTGCCCGGACATGGATGCAGTTCCTCAAGCTGTCCTGGGGAGACACTCTGCTAGTGCCATGTCTTTGCATTCACTTTTCATGGGGCTTTTCATAGAGGGCTTGCATTCACTTTTCATAGAGGGCTACACGGCCCTCTCCACAACCTTTCCCTTTCTTCATGCCCCCGCCACTCATGGTCTCAGCTAAAAATCTGCCTCCAGTCAGGCAATGTTTTTCCTCTCAAAATGATCATTTTATAAAATTTGATTAGCATGCACCATATGCAGTCTCACTCTTCTAGTCAAACAACTACCCGCCGCAGAAAGACCCGAGGTCTAGCATGGGCTTGTGGGGAAAGTCGCACCTTCCTGGAGGCCTCAAGGGCCTCGTCTGAAGCATGCGTGGTTGCATGAGAAAGACTGGTGGTTCCTCCCCTCCTCACAGAACCTAATTCTCTTTTCTTGCTAACAGAGATCGGAGCTGCAGCTGAATCATCCGAGGCAGCAATAAAATATGTCCAGAGAGAGGGAGATTCCGTGGAATGGAGCTGTCCCTTCAGCTTCGGGAGACATGCCACCAGCAAGAAGGCTTTGCAGAGGCTGATAGACGGAGCGGAGCCGCTGACCATGGCGCGCATAGAGAAGCCTTCGGGGGAGCCCATTCAAGTCCAAACGGGGAGGATCACGCTAGAAGAAGTCCCCCATGATACCGTACTGAAAGTACGGATTACAAACCTTCAAGTAGAAGACTCGGGACTGTATCAGTGTGTGGCCTACGACCCTCCCGTAGACCCTGAACTCCTGGCGTTTCGTGTCCACCTGGTGGTGGCCAAGGGTGAGCGACGTGGGGGTGGGTGGGGAGAGGCGGGCCAGGCGAGGATGGGGCCGTGGTGGTAGCGCCCGCAGAGCTGGGGCTTGGATTCCTAGCAGCCTGTCTTCCTCCTGGAAGCTCCGTGTCTCTCATCTGAGGTCCTCGAGAAGCATTTGGTCTAATAGCAAGTAGGGGCTGCTATATATGACATTCCCTTTGGGTAGCAGTGCCTAATTTGGGGTGCTGTTGTAGTACAATTGGGGTACAATTAAGGTGAACAGCAAATGTGGGATAATTTAGTCTCATTCCTTAGGTCTCCACTTAGAATCCCCGTCCTTGGGAAGCCTCCTGCGACCCACCGTGCCCCTCCCACAGATGCATTTGGTGGCCTGTCTGTGTGCTTCTAAGGCAGTGCTCTTCAGACCTTGCCATGGGCACGTGCCACCTGGGGACCTTCTTTCAAAGGCAGACTCTGGCTGAATAGGTACAGAGGGGACCCAAGAATCTGCATTTCTAATGAGCTCCCCAGTGATGCCGGTGCTGCTGGTGCTGCTGGTCCTTGTGGCCCCCATTTGGGGGTTGAATCTCTAGAGCTCATTTTGTGTCCTTTTGTGCACAACATCAACTCACTGGATAGCAGAGACCGGTTTGCTTACCTGTCTCCCCCATTCATCTCAGAGCTGCTTGAGAGGAGGACCAGCGCCTTTCTGAGCCCTCTATCCTTAGCACATGATGTAGTTTCTGGCACGTAGCAGGCCCTTGGTAGTTGCTGAATTAAGGAATAACGTATGGAAGACAGGCCAAAGGGAGATGGGTTCAAGTTCCCAGCGTCAGGGCAATGCTAAGCCTAAGAAAGACAAGGTACATATACAATATGTAAATAAAAGATAATTTGTGAAGCAACACGCCACACCTACAGGTGAATGAAAGGCAGAGTAAATGATACAGGGTAGAGTGATCAGGGAATTATTCTTGGAGAAGGTGGGGGCGTGTGGATTGGTGAGGAGTAGCAGGCAAGTGCAGTTCCAACAATATTAGTAGCCTGAAAATTCCTTTCTTCTTCCCTCCTACCTCCCTCCTTCCCTGCCTCCCTTTTTCCTTTCCTTCTTCCTGTCTCTGACTGAGGTGGATCCAACAGCATTTCTTTGGTTTTAGCAAAAGAAAACCTTGTTTTTTGGCCATGTGCATTTCCCTTCTCAGCTCTATTTACCTTTCCACCTACCCATCCATCCACTCATCCCTCCATCCACCCATTCACCCCTTCCTCATCCATCCATCCATCCATCCATCCATCCATCCATCCATCCATCCAACCATCCATCCACCTACTTACCAACAATACATCCATACAATCATCCACTTATCTATCCATCTATCCACCCTCCTAATGTGACTTCATGCAAATCCTCTAGGTATTACTGCCTCCGACAAGAATCCTACTGAGATCTTGCCTGAGACTACCAGAGTTCCTCCTACTACCATCGAGGCCTTGACCCCGCCATATACCAGCTCCAGCACCATCACCCAAGCTCCATTCCGTTCCACTACTGTCATCTCCACTCCTGGCCCTGGAGTCACCCTTCAAAATGTGACAAATGTCACCAGGTATGGTTTCCAGGCCTCTGGGTCCCTGGATTGGACATTGAGCCCTTTGCTCCCTACTCCATGTGCTGAGAGGATGCGGGTGGGGGGCTGGGGAGGGTGGGGCACGAGCAGGCTTGAGTCACCTCAGTGGGGGTAGAAATGTCCGGGGGAAGGAAGAGGTGGTGACGGAGTGAGGGGAGGCTCTCCGCAAGGCTGTCATTCTCCTCAGGTCCGCCTCCCGGTTTCCTTGAACACCACAGTAGTGGCATGCTTCCCAAATTCCAAGGGACCTTACCCAGCCCCAGGGGCTAATGGGTAGTGGTGAACGCACTCTGAGTGGGGCCCTGCATTCCAGTGTCAGCCAGACTGTGTGAACTTGGGCGCGTCAGGAGCCCTCTCTGGCGTTAGTTCCCTTGTCGGTTCAGCAGGGATGCTAGAAAGCCAGAGCTGGGTGAGATGATCTAGCCACCGGCTCTCAGAATAGCAGAATAGCTACCTGTTAGGATTATCCGGAGGATTTGTTTTCGCTTTGCTTTCTTTTTTTCTTTCTTTTTTTCTTAACACTGATGCATGTGCCCTGTCACAGATCAACAGAATCAGAATTTCTAGAGGTAAGGCCTGTTAGCATTTTTTATAAGCTCTTCAGGAGATTTCTAATGTGCAGGCAAAGGTAAGAAACACTAATGTAGCATCCAGGCGCCCCTGCAGCTATTATTAAATGTTGATTTATCTCAGAATGGGTTTATCATTAAATACTGAATTAACAGGGAAAGAAATATTCTTCTTTCCCATTCCCACTTACCTAACATGTATTTTTCCTCCATATTCTTTTCCAGTTTTATTCATGTTTATACATATTTGAACACGGCAGCAATTCTGATCATAAACACTTCCATTATTTTCCGTGCTACAATTTATTCTCTGATGCTGCTAGCTAGTCTTCATAAATATAATTTTAATGGATGAATACTTTTCTATCAGTTGGAAGAGCCATAACTTACATAATCATTTGTCAGTTCTGAGACACTGATATTTGTTTTGATTTTTTTATAGTATCAATAACTTTGAGATGACCTCACTCTTGCAGATGTCTTCTTTTAAATTGTTTATCCAGACATAATTCCCAGAGAAGAATTTGAACATTGATATTATCCTGCACACATATAGCATAGTTCAAGGGTCTTCCAACAGATTGGACACAGTTTGTGGTGTGAGCCATGAAGCGTAAGTGAAGCAGACTCACTGTAGACTTGCTGATAACACAAAGTTAGTGCTTTAAACATATTCCTGCTAAAATGGATGAGAAGTGGTACCTGCCTTAATTTTTCTATGAATGTGGGGTCCCGCTTCCTGTGAGTAGAGGCAGTGCCTTTTTTTCCTTGTATCATTTCACCAACACCTAAGTGCCTGGTACAGACTCAGTGCTCAGTAGGTCTTTGTGGGATAAATCAAATGAAAGATCTGGTCAGTGTCAACATTTTTCTTTTCTCACTACTTTCATTTTCCAATACGTAAGTTGAGAGTACATAATCTTTGCCTGTATTTCCGCTAGAGGCTCTCCCTCTTTTATCCGTTAACGTGATCTATTAAAAATACCATCCAACATCCAACTTTTCTGGCAGTGAGAGTCCAGTCAGGAAAGCGGAAGCCCCTGCAGCTGTTTGAAAAAGAAGGAACTTAGTGCAAGAAGTTGCTTTTCCAGGCGCTAGAAGTGGTGAGCCCCCAACCTGGGGACAGTGAGGCACTGCAGAGACAGCCATGATCACCCTGGCTCAAGCTGGGTTCCCCAGAAGCAGGCCACGGGAAAAAAGTCTTGCTAAAATGCTTTGAACAAAATCTCCCGCAAAGCCGTTGAGGAATGGGGCTGGGAAGGGAAGGAAGCCGAGCAAATGGGTCATAACCAAGGCAGGTCTCACCGGGGTAGCTTTGCCTCAGTCTTGCAAGGGAGCTCTGGGGACCACGGGTCACCTTCAGAGCTGCACGGGGCAGGGAGCTGGAGTACCAACACTCCCGCACCCACGGTGATTGCTTAAAGGGCAGTTCTAACCAAGACCAGGGACACACAGATGCCCAGACTTCTCAGGGCATTGGTGGCCCATGTGCAGTCTCTGAAGGTGACGCGGAAGGCAGTCTGCTGGAAATGGTAGAAGGCTGTGAGGGGACAGTGCCGACGCTGGCAGGAGAGACGTGGGGAGGAGATGGGGTTAGCTGAGCCCAGAAGCCCGACCTTCCGGCTGCAAGACTCCAATCAGGCCAGACGGGAGGCCGGTCGGGGCACTGCAACAATGTTGCAAAGAGAGACACCCGTCTCTATCTGGCCACTGCCGACAGTCGCTGACCTTGACCGGGCAGCCTTGGGAATGCAGCCCCCTGTGCTACAGGGTGGGCCCCACTGCCAGGGGTGAACTTCAGGCAAATGGACAGTTTTCTGCTTTCTGTCAGCATCGTGTCGTTTCCCTCTTTGCTAGTTTGTGCATTTGGTTTTAAGTTTTGTGTAGGCTGGTGTGTTGATTTTAAACTGATTGCTTTGCTTTGTTTTTTAATGCACTTGATTCTATTTCCTTGTGACCTTCCCTATGATTTTTTTTTTTTTTGCCATTTCATTTAAAACTTTAGTCCATGGGGAAGATTTTTTGCTGCATGGTATAAATTTTAGAAAAGATTTCTTCTCATCATGTGGCTCTCCAGACACTGCAAGACTATTTGCTAAACAATCCTCACTTTACCTACTGGGTCGTGGATTTCCTTACATGTTAAATCCTCGTATAACATTAGCTGTACATCTGGCCTTCTGTTTGTTCCACTGCACCTGTTCCCCCGTTTTTCCCCGTGTCTGTCATGCAGAGTCCTTCGTGTTCTCACCTGAGTCTGCGTCCGCTGACCGCACAGGCTCTGTTCCCTCACTCGTTTGCGGCTCTTTCTTATGATCCCTATTGATGTTCACCCAGAACCCTTAGAATGAATTTACTGCAATCTATAAAAATTCACGACGGGGTTTTCAGTACGGTTGGATTCTTCTGGGTTTAAAGATGAGGAAACTGAGGCCGAAGAGGTGAGGTGACTATCCCAGGAGGTGGGTCCACGTCACACGGGAGGACGTCGGGGCTGATCAGCTCGCCCTCCATCCCGGGCCTTTCCTGGGCGTGGGTCCTGTGCTGTCTGCTGAACATATTTCTTGTCAGTGGGAGCGGAGGCACGGGGTCAGACGGTGTGGGGAGGGTGCTGGAAGAAGCTGAGCGGGTAGGACGAGGACATGCAGGCAGGCCTTCTGCAGAGGGAGCACTCAAGTGAGGAGGAGTCATTGCCAGGAGCCACACTCAATCTCTTCTCTCCTCCAGGGTCTCTGTGTTCAGCATTGTCGTCCCCGTGGCCTGTGGACTCCTGACTAAGAGCCTGGTCTTCACCGTCTTGCTTGCTGTCACCAGAAGTCATTTTGACTGTAGATAGATGAACCCATGGGAATGACCTCTGACCTCCAGCCACGACCGTCTGGCAGTTGTGCCGCGAGAGGGGTGGGGGGTGGAGGGAGAAAAACTGGGTTGTGTGCGTGTCAATGACATGAATTTTACCTGGGATCACTGGCTATGTCTAAGGTCAGGATCCCACCTTCCTGGCCCTGCCGACGCCCCTCGTTTCACCGATAACCCCGGCTGTGCCCTTTGCCCTCTCAGAAGAGAAGACGTAGCCCCCAACGTGCCCTTCCTTCCACAGGCGGCTCGGGGTTTGCGTGAACCAAAGACAGTCCAGTGCTTTCGCTGCTGCTCTCCTGTGGGGTCGTGAGGCACAGCGGCCACACCCGGTGTTTCTCTGGCTCGTCCTCGCCCTGGAACGGTGCACTTTCGGCCTGACCTGGGCAGAGCTCCCGCTCCAGGAGCATCCCATCCTGCTCACCCCACCGCTGGGACTCCCTCTCCAGCCTCAGACACTGAGGCATCACTCTTCATACGTGGCGCTTTCCAACACCCCCAGAAAAGGGCGTCGAAAACCATGCAACGTGGGGAAAACAAGACACCATAGCAAGAATTGCATATTTGGGAAAGAGAAAGCAAGTGGAATACCCTGTCCTGGGGAAATACTGGCAGGAGGAGATGGGGTCTGCAGGATAGCATTGATGGACGAGATTGGGCGTGCTTTGTGCATTTTGTCTCTGGATCCTGCAACTAATTCCATGAAGGCAGAGATGCATGGGACTAGAATGAAGCCACATGAATAATGTCACCGCTTACTGGCAAGAACGAAAACTGAAGAGCTCGTTTCCTGAAGGGCCCCAAAGCCATGTAGAATAGAACAGCTTGGAGTTCTGCCTATGTCTGAATGCCTCTCTTCCTGTATTTCACAGGGGCAGGGAGGGTGGGGTGACAAACTCTCCACTGAAGCTCAGAAGGCTGTCCCCATGTGCTCTCCTGGCTCCTCCTTCTGCCTTCCTCCTCCTCCTCCTCCTCCTCCTCCTCGGAGCTCCCCCTTTAGCTCTTGTCCCCGCTCCAGTGTGCCCTTACTCAGGAAATAGGTACCCAGGCCCACCTGCGTCTTTTGATAGCTCACGGATTTCAATCAGGATTTTGCTATTTCCTACCCCTTTGGGCTCTGAAGGGAAAGGGACCTCATGGGATTGGGTCCTTCCGTTCCAATTTAGCAATGGCCAAGGTCGATATCATCCTAAATTCCCCAAGAGCAATCAAGCTTTCCCACACACTCAATCTGTCTTATGTTTGGAAAACACATTCCTACAATCAGCACAAAGGTGAAGAAAACACCCCGAGCGCTAAGGCACAGTCTCCCTCTTTCTGAGCCCACCTCCGTCACATAAGGGCTTCCCCGTTAGCCTGAACACTGCTCTCTGAGAACCTGCCCAGGTGACGGCACTAACCCCAGAGAGGTTATCGCTGACCCCCCAGTTCTGAGTCCATTAGAAGATGTGCCAGGGGCATTTATTTCATCCTGATGCTCTGGTGAGACTCTTCAGAGGAGCACTTGACCCAGAAGCTGTGGATCTGTCTAGAAGAACCAAGCGGCTCAGAGGCAGTGACTACACACATAGCACACGGTGTTTGCATGCCAAGGCTGCTGGGCTGGGACCTGCCCTTTAGCAATTCCAGTGTTGCTCCTGTTTATGAATTGGACAAAAAATCCAGGGCAAGGGGGTGCTATAATTAAATACTCTTTGGGAGAGTCAGAACGCATTAGGGTGGTGTAGTCAGATCCTTCTGGAGCATAAAACAAATTCTTAGACTCCAGGGCCCCTCCAGACCCGCTGCGTTCTAGCATACAGCCCTTTCTGAGCAGGTGGTGCTCAAGCTTGTTTTCAAGAAGTCATCATGCTCCTCAGCAAAGCCCATGACCCGCTCATATAGATACCAACTGCACAGGCTAGTGTGCTTGCTTGCATGTTAGATTTAGTTATAGATAAAGTGGTATTTGAGTCCAATGTATTAAACTTGCCAGAAAAATTATATACGCTAAATTGGAAGAGAAATGTTTGTGCTGGATATTCTCCCATTTGGACCTGCAGGCCACCCTCCCTGCCCTGCCCAGGAACCCGACCAGGGTGGCTACATCAACAGGCCCCCTGGCCACCAGCTCCTGGTGGGTTGAGCCAAGGGGCAGCAAGACAGAAGAGCAGAGGGTGGGGAGAGTGAGGTCAGGGTTCTAACCTTAGGATTGTCCCTGGTGGTGGCAGGAGTGGCTGCATTCCTCTCTGAAGCCTCCACCAAGCCCCTCACCACACAGCTCTTATCTCTAAGCTCAGCCACCTGCTCCATCCTCTTGCTCCTGCAGGCCCAGAGGTGGCAATGACTCGCCACTGTCGCCAGCCTCAGTGTACTGAAGCAGCCCTTACCAGTTCCCCCCAAATTGTACCACATCCTTATTAAACAATCCTTAATTACCCAGTTTCAGTGAGCTACCTGTGTCTTTCTGGGGCTGTGACTAATACAATAGTGTTGTGTGGTTAATGACACAGGCCTTGGAGTGAAACAGGGTTCAGGTTTGAATCCTAGCTCTGCATCCTTGCAGGGCATGGTGCTGCCTAACCATGCCAGGGATGATTCTGGATGCCAACGACACCATCCAACTCTGGCTGTTTCAAACAGCAAAGGGATTCTAGAAGGATATCAGCAACTCAGTGTCCATGAGAAGGCTGGAGGACCAGGTTTTTGCCCAAACTCTCTTCATTTGGACAGAAACCAAGAGAGAATGGATAGCAGAGGCCACAGCTGAGGTCACAACATGAGACAGTCTGGCCATGCTGCCATTGATCACTGCCCTGGCCACTTGAGGCCACCAATCTCTTGCCACCATGCTATTGCTGGACTCTGCTTAAATTGCCTCTGTGGAAGTCCCCCCCCCCCCCCTCCAGCTGGCCCTGTATCTGGTGCCTCATCTGGAGGATCTAGAATCCTGGGCAGAGTCACGCATGTGACCAGGCTTGGGTCAAGTCACATGCCTGCAACACAGCTGCCAGCAAGAAGGGTGGGAGGGACATCTGCCTCCACCCTGCGCAGAAGGGGAAGCAGAGAGCTCTGCCTCCAAGTGAGACTCACACACTGGGGCATGTCCCCGGAACAGAAAATGTGTTTGGTGCTGGGGAGCCCAAAGATGACAAACTTTCATTACAAAACCTCCCAGTGTTGGCAGCACTAATGAGATAAGCTGAGTAAAGCACCTGGTACACAATAGCACTTCAATCCATGGTGTATACTGCTGTTTCTCTTTTATTTGTGGTCTGCCTGCCTGGCCGAGACTGGATAGCTTGGGGAAGCACATGCCTTGTACACACGCAGAGCACGTGGGGTCCGGCTGACCTCACACAGAGCTCTTGCAGGCATGGTCTCTTTGGACCACTTGCCTCAGAACCACTTGTGCTGCTTGTTAAAATGCAGATTTCTGGCCAGGTGCAATGACTCCTGCCTGTAATCCCAGCACTTTGGGAGGCTGAGGTAGGAGGATTGCTTGAGCCTAGGAGTTTGAGACCAGCCTGGGCAACATAGCAAGACCCCATCTTTAAAAGAAATATGTAAAAAAAAACCGCAGCTCTAAGTAAAGTATCCCAAGAATGGAAAAATAAGCACCACATGTACTTACCAGAAAATTGGTTTCACTGATCAACACCTAAATGGACATATAGGAATAACATCTATCAGGTGTTGGGCAGGTGGGAGGGGGAAGGAGGGAATGGATATATACATACATAATGAGTGTGATGTGTACCATCTGGGGGATGGACATGCTTGAAGCTCTGACTCAAGGGGGGAGAAGGGGCAAGGGCAATATACGTAACCTTAACATTTATACCCCCATAATATGCTGAAATTAAAAAATGCAGATTTCCGGGACCTCTAGACCTGCCAAGTCAGCATGTCTGGAGGTGGAGCCTGGGCACGTGCGTGTGTACCAAGCTTCTTGAGTGAGCCAGCCATAAGCCCCTACATAAGAACCATGGTGCAGCGTAGATTAAACAGGCTGGATTATCAGAAAGGCTTGAACCTGGCCTTGAAGGGTGAGCAAAATTTGGAGGCATCGTAGTGTTTCAGTTGGGGAGAATGGCCTGAGGGCTTGCAGCATGTAGGGGTCAGTGGCCGGTGATGATGAGGTCTTGGTGACCCGAGGAAGTGAGTGGAGCAGTGGGGACCTCAGGTGGGTGGATCTAGACTTGCCATGGTGCGGAATGGGGAGCTACTGACCGTGTTCCATTAGGACTGTGACACAGTGACAATGGGAAGGAAGCTGTCTCAGGGGCACCCAGTGCTCCTTTCTTCCTCTTTGGCAGCTTCCTGAGCTGCTCCCCCTTGTCACATTTCCCCCAGGGTTTCTCAATTGTACAGTAAGAGCCTCCCGGGGGAGATGGTAAACACCCATGTGGGGCAACATCCTCCAGTAACTGGAAGAGGCCCTGGGAGGCCGGCGGGCAGTGCACCTGGGGAGCGGATAGAATGGGGGGGGCAGGGCTCTCGGGTGGCCCCAGCTGCTGCTGCTGCTGCTCCGTGTCTCAGGTAAGGAGAGCAGGTGAGGATGCTGGGGAGAGGGCACAGGTAGAAGGCTGTAGACAGCCGAGCAGAGGAACAAGGGCGAGCAGTTGTCTCTCATTTCTTACGATGGACTGGAACGGGAGAAGGAGGGTCTGTGTTACCGACAGGACAGGGAAAAGGGAGGGGGTGGATGTGCCTGCACTGGCCCCCCACCCAGCAGGGATGGGCAAGGAAACGAGCTGGAGGTTCCTCTAGTGCATCTTGAAGTTGAAAAAATGAGCTGGAGTCAACCAAGCAATCCCGCAGCGCTGCGCTGGTGTGCGGGGGATGTGAAGAGGCGACGGGCAAAGCTCCCCCACGGGGCTATTCCCCTACGGGGCTATTCGGGAACTGTGCAGAGGAGGCGTCAGCAGAGGAGAAGGTGAATAACGACAACGGGCCAAAGAGCAACAAGAGGACAAAACTGCTGTGGAAGCCATTCTAGCAAGGCACAGAGGGGGAGCGTGGGAAAGAGGGCAAGAGTTCTGGAATCAGACAGAGCTGGGTGCAAATCCCATCTCTGCCACTTTCTACATATGTGGCCTTGAGAAAGTCCTCAACCTCCATGAGGCTCAGTTTCCTCACTTGTCAGAGGCACCTACTCATAGGTATTTATGTGTAGGTAGTGCCCGCGTCAGAGGGTTGTCCTAAGGGTTAGACAGAAGGCAGAGAGAAAGCTCTGGGCTTAGTATTTAGGCATAATAACTGCTTTAAAAATTATGGCTGGGGGTGATGATGTAATGAGGTGCAGGGTGATCGTGACATTGAGGGTGGAGAGGAGAAAGAGATGAGTGCAGCTGGAACAGTTCAGGTAGACCCCTCTCTGGGACCAATCGGGATGGGTATGGGTGGAGAGGAGGGAGGAGTGTCATCCAGGAGACCCCAGGGGCAGATACACAGGACTGGGTACTGGGAAGCAAGGGGCATACCTGGGCCATCGCAGGTAGAGTAGAAAATGGGTGGTGAATCTGGCAAAATTGTTTTGTACCTTTTTTTTAACGAACATTTTCCAATCTACAAAATGTAGAAAGCATAGCCACCATCAACTCATCACCTGGACTCAAACGTTCACCCGTGACAGATACGTTGCCGTATTTGCTCCACACGCTTGTGTATCTTGCTGCTGTACACACACACACACACACACACACACACACACACACACACACACAATTATAGAAATCCTAAATCAGTCCTTCATGCTTGATGGAGCTATGAATACTCTTCATCTGTGGTCGTTTGTGGTGTGTCTGAGGCTGGGGGTACAGGGGTGACAGATGAAGTGACATTTGCTCGGTGAAGCGCCCGACTCTCCATTCTAGGAGTGGGTGCTGCAGACAAAACCAAGGAGCAGGGGTGCCCGCTGAAAGGGAAGAAGCTGACCGTGGTCTGTCCTTACAGCATCATGAAATACGCCTCCAGCCTGAAGGCCTGGCAGCGGGTGAGGGGCCAGGTCCCCCAGAGACTCTGGCGCTCACAGAGACTGGAAATGAAGACCTCAACCAGGCCCAGGCAGGGAGGTACCTGCTGGAGGATTATCCCACTGAAGCCATAACCAGGGTGACAGTGACAGAGCTCCAGAGGGAGGACTTGGGGCTGAACCAGTGCGTGATCCACCGTCTTTTCAGGACCCCGTTGTCCCATACCATCAGACTCAGCTGGTACGGTGCAAAGGTGAGCAACTTTGAGAACAGGGAGGGTCGCCTCAGGCACAGATAACAGGCTGGGACCTCATCTGTCATGAGGGGCCACTTTGAGAGAGAGAGCGCAGAGCAACGGGGAAAGTTCCAGACCCGAAATCAGGGCACCTGGGTCTTCCACTCTGTTGCTTTGTGACCTTGAGAAAGTCATAGCTCATCCCTGGGCCTCAGTTTTCTCACCTGTACGACAAGGAAGCTGAACCAGGTGATCTCAAAAGTCACCTTTCCTGTGGCAGAGAACCTGCTGGAGAAAGCGGGTAACTGAGCATGTACCGTGTGCCGAGCCTTGGATTTGTCAGTCTCCCTGCTGTGGAACAAGCACTGCTGTCCCCGCTGAGCAAGGGGACATTCCGGAGGCTAAGTTATTCACCGTGTCATTCTGCAGGTGAGTGGTACAGCCGGGGTCCCACAGACACCCATCTGATCATCGCTGGTGAATCTGGGAAAGGGTCCCTGAGTGGCCAATACACAGCTGCTCCCTTTCTCAAGGGATTTATTAATAAAAAGCAGTAGATGAGGAATAGACATCAGAGGGCAGCATGAAGGGCATTTCACTGACCTCCACCTGCTCTTGCTTGGTGGGAGCACTACGAGTTCCCCCTTCTCCTTTGCTAGAGCCTGTCTGCCCACGTGGGGAGCTGGAACAGGGACAGAGGAGCTGATGCTTCTGCCCCTAGCAAAACAAACCTGTCCTTCCAGGCCGGTGAGTTCGAGAGGCCACTGTGACCACAGAGTGTTGCTGTCCTGCTAGCTGGATGTGGCTGACCCGAACACGTGAACGTCAGGGCAGAGCTGGGCTGAAGTTGAACTTCATGAGATCTACACACAGTTGACCAAGCAAAGGGATAGCGCCAGTCCTACAGGACTGTAGGAGCCCACTGAAGCCCTGTGATAGAAGAACAGAATCCCTCAGTCCTTGAGAAACATCCAGTGATATCAGTGAGCGACAGGCTGGTTACAAATCAGTTATGCAGCCAGTGGAGCTGGCCTCGGCTCACGGACATTTTATTAGCCTGGTCTTAGTACCGTGTGCTATGGAGGTACTAAACCGCAAAGGCAAGGGCGGCCATTGCTGCGTAAGAGAAGGTTCTGGATTCTCCATTCCTGTGTGCCCTGCACATACTTAGTGATCTTGGACAAGTACTTCACCTTTTGTCTAGGCCTCTGTCACTCCTGTCAGTGGGCTTCCCCATGGTGACATTTGATGGCTCTGCCCTTTTCGTTTCCTGTGTCTTTACTGAGTTTGGAGAAATAAAGGACCTATAGTTTACACTTGGCAACAGTGGCCCACTCCAGGCACCAGGGGATGGCTCGGGCCCTCCGTCATTGGATTTTGGCCCACTTCTTTAACCCAAGCCTTAATAAAGACAAGAGAAATGATCGAGAAAGACTGAGCCTGTATGATTAAATGAGAGCTGTATCAAGTGGAATAAGGCTAGACTAAATATAATTATTTTCATCAAACCACAAATAGCATGCAGTGGTGTTTCGACAGCACCTTCACGTTCTTTTCTCTCCAGGAATTGGAGAAAACGTCAGGCAATGCGGCCAAAGAAACGGCATCTGCTACAGATTATTGCTGCCTGAGGGAATTACAGATCTCGCAGGCGTGCTAGAACAGTCCTCGGTACAGGGTGCCTGTGTCCCGCTGCTTTTTCAGTTAGGTTAGAGCAGCAGAGGAGGAGGCGTCTTTCTGAGGTGGGGGTAGGGCCCCCTAGAGGACGTTTCTGCCGCAGATGGTGGGGAAATCATTCTTTATTTTTTCCTCGCTTTTCCAGGTGGGCTGGGCAGGGCAGGGCAGTGGCTGACCACAGAAAAGAACCTGCACGATGGGATGAGATTTGGAGAGGATGGATGTTGTCCACCCAACCCCACTGCGGGAAGTGGGGCTGGGAGTGGGAACCGAGGTGAGCCCAAGGTGGGAGGAGGAGGGGGCTCCCTGCCTGACTGACCCGCTCCATGACGGCTCGGAGCGAGAGCAGGAGGGCTGCTGGGGTCCTGTGAGCAGGCCCGAGCGCCGGGGTGGGCCGGGTGCAGGAGGGCACTGGGAGCTGAGCAATTAGGCCAGGCTCGCTCTGTGAGTCCCTGGAGCTGACACCAGCAAGATGTCACAGGCACACACAGGCAGAGGACTCAGGAGCCCTGGGTCCCAGGGCTGGCTCTGCCACCATGTACTTCCACCTTTGACCTTTTAGGACCCTGTGAACCTTTCTTCTCCAACCAGAGTGTAATGCTATGGTCATGACCGTGGGAGAGAGCTGCTCAGCCTATAGGAAAAGAAAAGTTGTTCCAAACACCTGGGGAGTCTCTTTCCGGCGCAGATTAAGCCAGGAGGGTGTACAGACAGCTGGGCGAGCCCAGAGTGTGCTAACCCATCCTTCTCAAGCAGTATCTGGGCACCCAGTAAGGACCTGGTCTCAGTCAAGACCCTGAAGAGAATTTGTCTCTGCCAGGGCACGGCACTGCCCGAACACAGCAAGCTCTAAACGACGGTCCGGATCGCAAGTGAGCTGCGTCCGGGTGAGGGCCGCTGCACGGAGGCCAGGGCAAAGCAGAGTAATATTATGGGATGAGCTGGGGTCCTAAGTTCATGCCTCACTTGCGGACCCCACAGAGCCAGGCTGGACCATGTGGGGACTCTCTCCTGCTCTAGGCAGACCCAGGGCATCTTGAACCTGTGCGGGCCAGACACCCTGCACTTGTGTTCCATCCCCAGCCCCTTTCATGCCCCTGCTTCGAGGCAGCAAATGTCCCACCCACCAGCCCCAGAGGAAAGGAGCCAGAGACCGCAGAGCTGTGATCCTAAGGCCTGTTATGCCCCTGCTGACAAGGCGTCACACCTAGAACACGCGGCCAAGCTGTGCGTGGGGTCTGAGCATCAGCAGCCTCTCTCCTGGAGTTGAAGAATAGGACCGGTACACATCCTCCCCTACAGAGCAGCTCTAACGGCCACATGAGCAGAGAGATACCCAGCGCTGGTGGCCAGAGGTGAGTGACAGAGGAAACTCCCTGGAGGAGGAGAAACATTGAAGGTAGCAGGGGCCTTACAGAGTGTAGAAGAGGGCGGCATTCATTCTGGGCCAGGGAGTGTGTGTGGGAGCAGGCAGTGGAGACACATACATACAGAGTGTGTCCTCTACCAAGGTGGACAATTTGGCTGAGTGGAGAGAGGAGATGGGTTAAAGCAGGACAGTCAGTTCAGATTGTGGAGAGCCTTGAATGCGAGTCAGCAAGTGCTGTGTGCTGTAGGCGATGGGGAGCACTAAGGGCTTCCCTTGGGCCCTTTGGTGCAGAGTGAGGTGCTCAGTGCAGACTTCCCAAGGAGCCACGTGCAGGACGAGTGGGGTGGGCAAGTATTAGAGTCAGGAGACTTGTCAGAGTCCTTTGGGGTAAGGGTGGGCTTGGGGCTCATGGGAAAGTTGGTGGCCCCAACTTCCACGTGTGCAAATCCAACTTGGCTGCTCCCATGGCCAGAAGGCAGGGAGCAGGCTGGGCTTCAGAGCACAGCATTTGGCAGACACCCCTGTGGACTGAGGAGGGTCAGACCTAGGGAGCCGATGCTTGCCTTTGCCCTTGCAGACCTGCCTGAGCTGCCTGCTGTGCTGACCTTCAGGTTGATCCTGACCTTTTTCTGCAGTGAGGCTCCAGAGGAGGAGGTGGGAATGAGTGTCTAGCAAGTTTACAGGATCTACCCAAACAACCTCAGCCGCAGCTGATACTAAAATAGTTCAGATTTTAGAGTTTTGTGTCAATGAAAGGCAAATGTGATTAAGTGAAAAATAACCATCGATTTTCTGTTTTGCTATGCCATATAAGCTCTATTATCTTGGAGAAAAGTTATATCAACAAATTCCCATTTGCCAAAAACGCTACATGGGACATCATGTGCTACATAATACAGTGGAGATGTAAAATAACGTAGATACACAGAAAACATTCCTGTTGTTTCCTCTTCCAGAATTTATGGCACTTTTCTTTGATACTTCTTGGTATTTATCATAATGAAATGACTCTTATTACCATCAATCTTCTTTAATCTATTCCTGGGAAACCCACATGATCCCTAGGAGTTCAGTGACCCTGGGAAAATTCAGCTTCCACGGCAGTCACATGACTGAAAATAGTTGCGGTTTAACAGTCTGTAAGCTGAGAGTTTTCCAAGCCTTGTAAAGTCAGAAATGATTATTTTTAGAACCGAAGGCAGCTCTTTTGGGGTGGAGGATTGTCTTCAAGGACCAGACTCCTCTTCGGGGCTGGCAGGGGAGCAGTCATTCCATTCTACTTTCTTTCCCTGCGTGGCTGTGTAGAGACCCTCACCCAGCACGACTGCCCACTTCACTGCATTCATCTCAGTGAGACTCAGATGTCCTTGCCTGTCCCCAGCGTCCAGGCACTCCCAGCCCAATCATCCCCCTACTGGATTTGCAGGGAAAAGAATATGACATTTGGCATTAGAAGGCCAGGCGGGGAATCCCATCCTACCTCCTGCATACTGGGCACTTTTGCATAAGTCAGTTCCTCTCTCAGGCTGGAACTCAGTCCCATCATTTATGTTATAAAGGAACATCTACCTCCTCGATGAGAGGGTCAATTTTAAACAAAAATATGTGAACATGCTTTGTTTTTATTTCAGCTTTTGCTTCATTTTTTTTTTAAAGATCTTCAAGTGTCCCAAACTGAGTTGACATACTTTTTATTTCATGGTCCACAGTCATCAAAGGAAATACTTTACCACTCATTTGGTTTAATGTGTTTCAAAATTTTTCCCACCTTTATCCCTAGCTCCACCTCTATCCTTCTCCCACAGGTGTCTTCTTAATAAATATATTTCATATATATCCTTTCAATGCACTTTCCATATATTTACTTACATGCATGTAGAGTATTGAAAGTATATAGACTTGATTTTGTGTACTTTGTCTTTTTTTACACATTTCGCTCTGTTGTATAAAGACATCTGCAAATAAATTGAAAACTCAGCATTGTATATTGCATTCTCTTCCTTGTGATATCTCATTCTGATTCTATGGGAGTGATTTTACAGTTCTGACAATTACAACTTATTGACAGACAAGCAAATTCTGTTCTCCGTTCTTTTCCCTGCTCTGGGGGCAAAACAAACCCACAACTGGATGCCTCCACATGCAATTCATTTCAACATTCCTTACTCCACATAAATTTCTGTTTCTTGACCCTTTTAATGGTTATAACATGTGCATGAGTATAAGTTATGGAGTATGAGTTAAATAACATTTTTAACATGTGTTTATTTTGTCTGTATAAGAGACATGATTTAAACCTCTTTGAAAATTGTAGCTGTGTTTTGTAAGTTTTCAGTCAATATTGTACTTCTGAGAGTATCTTTTGTTGCTATCTGTAAATCTAAATCTTTGTGGGGTTTTTTTTTTTTGCTGGTATGTAAGATTTCATATAATGTATGGACAGTATTAGATTTTACTTTTGCGTTCCCCCTAGTAATGAAAACCTAACCTGTTTCAACTCCTTACTACCCTAAAACAAACAAACATACACACATGTAGACACACACACACACACACACAGAAACACAAACAGAAAAACAAAAAGCGAAAGATTAAAATAAACATCCCCATTCATATTCCTGAAGGGCCCATGCCAAAATTTTTCTAGAGTACATGACCAATTAGCATAAATCAAAATAGGCGAAAGGAATAGGATAGAAGGTTCAGGAACATTCCACACACGGACAGTCATGTGATTGCCACGGAGGCACCTCTGCAATACAATGGGGAAAAAGGGTCTTTCCACCATTTCTGTGAAATGGTGACAACCAGTTGGACACCCACGTCGTAAAACAGGCGTTTACCTCTTTCTCATGCAACAAAATTCATTCAAAATGGATCAGAGACCTAAGTATGAAAGGTGAAAGCAATATATCTTTTAGAAAAACATATAAAAAACACGACCTTGGCAAAGGCAAATATTTCCTAAAGGCAACACAAAGTACAGTAACCATAACAGAGCTTCCATCAGGAATCGGGACATTGGGTGCTGGATATCCACATGTTCATACCGCATAGAGTTCCAGATTGTTCTCTAGAATGCTGGGCTATGTTGCATTCTTCCCAGCAGGGCTGGGGCTTTCCCCTTTCTGATGTTCTCACCAACTGAGTGTTGTCTGCCTTTCGTGTTCTTGCCAATCTGATGAACCCAAAGTGACAGCTCCATGTTGTACAATTAGTATCTGTCTGATAACAAGAAGACCAAACATCTATGGGCATCCCAGGCAGGTGGATTTTTACTGCAGTGTATCCCCTATTTTTGACCGTTTTCTGTTGGATTTCCTTTCTTCTGCTTGTTGATTTCTAATAACTCCAAGGTTAGTTTAGATATTTATCCAAGGTAAGTTTTAAACACGGCAAATATCTTCTCTCAGTCTGTCATTTGTGACTTGTCAAGCACACAAGTCAAGGCTGAGCCAGGGT